GCCAAGTTCCCTGGCACCATCCCCCATACACGCAGGCCGGGGCCTTGAGGGGTTCAGCAGTCCGAGATCAGCACCCCCAACTGCCCTCTGGAAGAAAGTTCCCTCAAACCCCTGGGCTCCCGACTTCTCCCCAGAACCGCAGCCGCCGCGCGCAGACCCCCACCTCCTGGGCCGCTCCGATGCCCCCTTCCCGGGGGAAGCGGCCCTTGACTCTCAACGGCCACTTAAGATGGCCATCCTCAGCCGCCGCACCCCCCCTCGCCTTCCGCCCCGCCCGCCGCTCCGCCCCCGCGGCTCTCCGCGGAGCCGGGGGTAGCACCCGCGCCCCGCCTACCCCGGCCCCCCGATCCTGGAGCCGCTGACCCGCCGAGTGACCTCGGGCCAGTCACGGCACCTCTCCGCGCCTCGCCTTCCCGCTCTGCAAAGTGGGGGCAATGTTATTTGGCCGACTCAATGGGACTGCTTGTAAAGCTCTCGGCACGGGGCCTGGCATCCAGTAGGCGCTCCAGAACAGCGGCTATTTTTATTATTAATTAAGGAGTAACGAAGGTGACAGCTGTGTAAACTGTAAAGCGCTGCGCCTGAACGAACGGGTATTATTAGCACCCGCCCCCGCCCCAGCTACTCCCTCCAAGACAACAAACTTGAGCCTTTGTGGGCGGGACGCCGAACCGGGAGCTCCCCTTATCGGGTACGTTCAGACACCCCCGCTCAGACGCCCGCCCTTGGCGGGAGGGTGGGGGGAACACGGTCGCCGGAAAGGGGGCGGGGCCCATGGAGGGTCTGGCCCGCCCCTTCCCCCCAAAAAAGACCTAGCCGGTGGCAGCGTCTCCCGGGAGTCCGCTTCCTGCCCCGCCCCTCCGCCCCTTGGCTCCTTAAAGGCGCAGGCCTCCATCCTGGCTCCCACTGCTGCCAACTCCTGAGCCACCGTCGGCCGATCCCCTTTAACCTGGGAGAGAACTTTCACTTTGCTCAATTGAACCTGTGCCTGGGTCAGTCCCTACAAGCTCCTTCCTCTATTTCCAATAAGCACTGGTTTAACCCAGCTGGACCAAAGCTTGGGCTACGGAATGGGCTCTGTGGGGGCTTTCCCGACTAGGTAAATATAGTGACTAAGAGACACCCCCCCACACACCCAACAGTGTCTCTAGACCCCTCCAGGAACCCCATAAGTCATCCTCCAAACTGCCCGACTTTTCCCGTCACTCAGCTCTAGAAATGAGGGAAGGTGAGTCTGCCATGAAGGGGACACCCTGGTGCGGTGGGGAGGGAAGAGACCTGGACTAGGAAACTTCATACCTGGGTTCTAGTCCTAGCTTGATCACCCACCTGCCTGGTGTCTCAGAGAGGTACCTGTGCCTTTTTGGAGATGACTGTGAGGGGGATGTAGAGACAAAGACTTCCCCAGAGGAAAAAGGCAAGAGGGAGACCCAGAGATCTACTCAGGCCTAGTTCCTGGGGGATGTGTAGAGACAGAACAGGCATATCTAGCAATCGCCAGAGGAGAGGCCAGGCTTCTGCCCCTGGGAAGCCCCAAGACTTTCCAACCTTTTCCCATCCTCCTGGCTGCAGCAGGGCTAAACCAATTCTAGACTCTTGAACATTTCATCTTCCAGGAACCTCCCACACTGCCCTCCCCATTCTTCTGTCTTCCTCCTCTGAGGGTTCCTAGTCTCAACTCTGTCCCTTCAATCCACATCACGTGAGAATTTTTTTCACCCCCACTGGGAATCCAGAGCCTTCCCTGGACTTCCATCCCCAGCAGAGCTGACCACAAAGCCAGGCAGACAGGACCTGAGAGAAAGTGGGGATATTTGGGGACCAATACAAGTAACACAGTCCTGGACCTGTCTCTCATTTTTGGCTACAAGAGAACAGGATCTCCGAGGACTATTAAGGGCGCAGACGCTGGGCTCACATGCTTTCTGGCAACATCTCCTTTGTACTTCACAACTCTGAGGGAAAGAAGGATTATTATGCCCATTTTACTGAGGAAAAAACTAAGCTTTAATGTAGACAAGCAACTGCTTCACTTTCCATAGTCAGTAGCAGAGCTAGGATTCAAACCCAAGTCTCATTTCTCTCATCTGAAGGAATACAAAAGCTATGGAAGCTGTCCTCTACTTACTGAAACCAAAACCATTCATCAGACATGGATAGGTCTGTCTCTTTGTTTGAACTGACTGTCAGAGAAAGCCCAAGGCCCACCATGGAAGCAGGAACCGGATGGTAGAAGGATGGATAATGAATGGAGGCATGCTTAGCACTCCCTCATTTGTGAGAGCTATGCTGAGCCAAGCTTGGTCATCAAAACTGGGGACATGCAGGGAACATGCCTGAGGAGGGCTGGACTCAGCTGAGGAGCCAGAGGTGCAGCATAAGGACCAGGCTGAGCAGGACAAGCCCAATCCCATGGGACATGGCCCCGCCTCATGGCCCAGTATAGAACCTGGCCCCACCTCCCTGGGTTGGGGTTGCCCTGGGCGGGTGAGACCACATCTGGATGCAGCGGCCGCTCCCTCTGTTGTAGTTGCTGAGTTTGTAGGTAACCAGTGCCCTCACAGGAGGAAAATGGGAGTCTCAAGTGGCAGTGGCTCAGGCGGGACTGCTTGTTCGATCCTGCATGGGGAGAGAGGGTGGACACAGACATTCAGCCCCTGGGCCCGGGGCCCATTTCTGGCCACCCCCCTGGAGATCCACTTTTTTAACCCCAGATCCTCGGACCCTGCCTCCATCTCCGCACCCCCAGGCCCTCACCTGAGCTCCAGTCCCAGCCCTTGTGCCAGTTGCTCTTGCAGGTGTGGGGCGTCGCATCCTCCACCGCCGTGACAGTCCTCCTTGCACAGGGGCACGTCCAGGAAGCGTTCCCTTAAGCCAGCCAGCTCTGGTTCACCTGGGGAGGGGGGGGAGGAGGGGCTCCTCTCAGCCAGGGGTGCTGGCAGCCACCGCCTTGACCACCTTGACCTTGACCACCTTGACCGAGCAGGATGGCAGCCAGCTGGGCTGGGGTGAGAAGCCACCTCCGGGATCAGGGGCCCCAGGTGGAGTGAGCTTGCTGGTACAGACAGTTGTCCTGAATGAAGTGGCGCTTGCAGGCAGGCTCTATCTGGCCGCAGTGGTCCAGGTTAAAGTTATACAAGAGGGAGGGGTCCTTGTGCAGCTCCTGGCTGGTGTTGTGTGAGCAGCAGGCGTTCTTCCTCCAGGGAGTGCACTGGGTGGAGAAGACATTGGAACACATGCCTCCCCCACCAAAACCTTCAGCCTCTCCCTATTTGGTGCTTGGTCTCCTGCCTCAGGTGGGTTGTCCTAGGAAAGTTTACTGTGAAGACCCCTCTGTCCTTGGCCTCCAGGAGCTCCCATCTTGGGGGAGACTTAGTTACAACAGTGTAATCAGGGGTTGTGGGTGCCGGAGAGAAACCCTGTCTTGGGAGGACAATAGCTATCGTTTAAGCAGCCCTTCATATTTTATAGGGAGTTCTTTGATTTATTTATTCATTAAAAAATAATTACTGAGTACCTATTTCTATGCCAGTTACTGTTCTAGATGCTGAGAATACGGTAGAAAGCAAAACAGAAATATGTGTTCATGGAACTTACATCCTGATCAATGGAGACAGACAGTAAGAAACTAAAAGAGAAAAAATATAGTGTCAGGATATGATCAATTACATGGAGAAAATTACAGCAGGGAATAGGGATGTGGAGTATGGGGTGATTGTTGAAATTTTA